AATTTTCCACAGTTTATTGTGATCCACACAGTCAAAGGCTTTGGCATAGTCAATAAAGCAGAAGTAGATGTTTTTCTGGAATTCTCTTGCTTTTTTTATGATCCAGCGAATGTTGGCAATTTGATCTCTGGTTCCTCTGCCTTTTCTAAATCCAGCTTGAACATCTGGGAGCTCACGGTTCACATATTGCTGAAATCTTGCTTGGAGAATCTTGAGCATTACTTTACTAGCTTGTGAGATGCATGCAATTGTGTGGTAGTTTGAGCATTCTTTGGCATTGCCTTTCTTTGGGATTGGAATGAAAACTGATATTTTCCAGTCCTGTGGCCACTGCTGAGTTTTCCAAATTTGCTGACATATTGAGTGCAACACTTTCATAGCATCATCTTTTAGGATTTGAAAGAGCTCAACTGGAATTCCCAGAGAAGGCAATGGCACCCCACTGCAGTACTCTTGCCTGGAAAATCCCATGGATGGAGGAGCCTGGTAGGCTGCGGTCCATGGGATCACTAAGAGTCGGACACAGCTGAGCGACTTCACTTTCACTTTTCACTTTCCTGCATTGTAGAAGGAAATGGCAACCCACTCCAGTGTTCTTGCCTGGAGAATCCCAGGGACGGGGGAGTCTGGTGGGCTGACATCTGTGGGGTCGCACAGAGTCGGACACGACTGAAGTGACTTAGCAGCAGCAACTGGAATTCCATCACCTCACTAGCTTTGTTTACAGTGATGCTTCCCACTTGACTTCACATTCCAGGATGTCTGGTTCTAGGTGAGTGATCACACCATCGTGATTATCTGGGTCGTAAAGATCTTTTTTGTATAGTTCTTCTATGTATTCTTGCCACCTCTTCTGAATATCTTCTGCTTTTGTTAGTTCCATACCATTTCTGTCCTTTATTGAGCCCATCTTTGCATGAAATGTTCCCTTGGTATCTCAAGTTTTCTTGGAGAGATCTCTAGTCTTTCCCATTATACTGTTTTCCCCTATTTCTTTGCATTGATCACTGAGGAAGGCTTTCTTATCTCTCCTTGCTATTCTTTGGAACTCTGCATTCAAGTGGGTATATCTTTCCTTTCCTCCTTTGCTTTTTGCTTCTCTTCTTTTCACAGCTATTTGTAAGGCCTCCTCAGACAGCCATTTTGCTCTTTTGCATTTCTTTTTCTTGGGGATGGTCTTGATCCTGTCTCTGTACAATGTCATGAACCTCTGTCCATAGTTCATCAGGCACTCTGTCTATCAGACCTAGTCCCTTAAATCTATTTCTCACTTCCACTGTATAATCATAAGTGATCTGATTTAGGTCATACCTGAATGGTCTAGTGGTTTTCCCTACTTTCTTCAATTTAAGTCTGAATATGGCAATAAGGAGTTCACAATCTGAGCCACAGTCAGCTCCTGGTCTTGTTTTTGCTAACTGTATAGTTTCTTCATCTTTGGCTGCAAAGAATATAATCAATCTGATTTCAGTGTTGGCCATCTTGTGATGTCCATGTGTCAAGTTTCCTCTTGTGTTGTCAGAAGAGGGTGTTTGCTATGACCAGTGTGTTCTCTTGGCAAAACTCTATTAGCCTTTGCCCTGCTTCATTCTGTACTCCAAGGCCAAATTTTCCCGTTACTCCAGGTGTTTCTTGACTTCCTACTGTTGCATTCCAGTCCCCTATAATGAAAAGGACATCTTTTTCGGGTGTTAGTTCTAAAAGGTCTTATGGGTCTTCATAGAACCATTCAACTTCAGGTTCTTCAACATTACTGGTCAGGGCATAGACTTGGATCACCATGATACTGAATGGTGTGCCTTGGAAATGAAAAGAGATCATTCTGTCGTTTTTGAGATTACATCTATGTACTGCTTTGGACTCTTGTTGACTATGATGGCTACTCCATTTCTTTTAAGGGATTCTTATTCTTGACCACAGTAGTAGATATAATGGTCATCTGAGTTAAATTCACCCATTCTAGTCCATTTCAGTTCACTGAATCCTAAAATGTCGACATTCACTCTTGTCATCTCCTGTTTGACCACTTCCAATTTGCCTTGATTCATGGACCTAACATTCCAGGTTCCCAAGCAATATTGCTCTTTACAGCATTGGATCTTGCTTCTATCACCAGTCACATCCACAACTGGGTGTTGTTTTTTCTTTGGCTCTGTCTTTTCATTCTTTCTGGAGTTATTTCTCCACTGATCTCCAGTAGCATATTGGGTACCTACTGACCTGGGGAGTTCATCTTTCAGTGTCCTATCTTTTTGCCTTTTCATACTGTTAATGGGAGCAGCAAGTGGCGGATGCACAGTGCTGGGGTGGCGAGTGGCCAAGAGGAGATATCCCAAATCCAAGGTAAGGAGCAGTGGCTGAGCTTTGCTGGAGCAGCCATGAAGAGATACTCCACGTCCAAGGTAAGAGAAACCCCAGTAAGATGGTAGGCCCTGAGAGAAGGCATCAGAGGGCAGACAGACTGAAACCACAATCGCACAAAACTAACCAGTTTAATCACAAAGACCACAGCCTTGTCTAACTCAATGAAACTAAGCCATGCTGTGTGGGGCCACCCAAGACAGACGGGTCGTGGTGGAGAGTTCTCACAAAATGTGGTTCATTGGAGAATGGAATGGCAAACCACTTCAGTACTCTTGCCTTGAGAACCCCATGAACAGTGGAATCTTACTCAGCTATAAAAAGGAGTGGAATCTTGACATTTGCTATAACAGGGATGGATCTGGAGGGCATCATGCTAAGTAAGATACGTCAGAGAGAGGAAGACAAATACTGTATGATTTCACTTATATGTGGAATCCAAATGATAGGCAGATGAGCAAACAAAACAAAACAGAAACAGACTCACAGACACAGAGAATAATCTATTGGTTGCCAGGGGAGAGGAGGTGCAGAAAGAGGTGACAAGGGGAAGGGGATTAAGAGGTATAAATGTCCAGCTATAAAATAAATAAGTCAAAGGGATACAGTATACAGCATAGGGAACACAGCATTGTAAAAGTACTGTAATAACACTCTGTGGTGACAGACGGTAACTACACTTACCGGTGAGCATTTCATAATGTATGTTATCACTATGCTGTACAACTGAAACTAATGTAATGCTGCAAGTCAATTACACTTTAGTTTTAAAAGTCTTCTAATAAAAATACGAACCAAGCTTGTGGAGGTGATGGAATTCCAGGTGAACTATTTCAAATCCTAAAAGATGATGCTATGAAAGTGCTGCACTCAATATGCCAGCAAATTTGGAAAACTCAACAGTGGCCACAGGACTGGAAAAGGTCAGGTTTCATTCCAGTCCCAAAGAAAGGCAATGCCAAAGAATGTTTAAACTACCACACAATTGCACTCATCTCACACGCTAGCAAAGGAATGCTCAAAATTCTCCAAGCCAGGCTTCAACAGTACGTGAACCGTGAACTTTCATATGTTCAAGCTGGATTTAGAAAAGTCAGAGGAACCAGAGATCAAATTGTCAAAATCCACTGGATCATCAAAAAAGCAAGAGAGTTTCAGAAAAACATCTACTTCTGCTTTATTGACTACGCCAAAGACTTTGTGTGGATCACAATAAACCATGGAAAATTCTGAAAGAGATGGGAATACCAGACCGCCTGACCTACCTCCTCAGAAATCTGTATGCAGGTCAAGAAGCAACATTTAGAACTGGACATGGAACAGGCTGGTTCCAAACTGGGAAAGGAGTATGTCAAGGCTGTATATTGTCACCCTGCTTATTTAACTTACATACATAGTACATCATGCAAAATGCCAGGCTGGATGAAGCACAAGCTGGAATCAAGATTGCTGGGAGAAATATCAATAACCTCAGATATGCAGATGACACCACCCTTATGGCAGAAAGTGAAGAACAGCTAAAGAGCCTCTTGATGAAAGTGAAAGAAGAGAGTGAAAAAGCTGGCATAAAACTAAACATTCAGAAAACTAAGATCATGCCATCCGGTTCCATCACTTCATGTCAAATAGATGGGGAAACAATGGAAACAGTGAGAGATGTTATTTTCTCGGGCTCCAAAATCACTGCAGATGATGACTGCAGCCATGAAATTAAAAGACGCTTGTTCCTTGGAAGAAAAGATATGACTAACCTAGACACTATATTAAAAAAGCATAAGAGACATCACTTTGCCAACAAAGGTCTGTCTAGTCAAAGTTATGGTTTTTCCAGTAGTCACGTATGGAAGAGAGTTGTACTGTAAAGAAAGCTGATCACCAAAGAACTGACGCTTTTGAACTGTGGTGTTGGACAAGACTCTCGAGAGTCCCTTGGACAGTAAGGAGATCCAACCAGTCCTTCCTAAAGGAAATCAGTCCTGAATATTCATTGGAAGGACTGATGCTGAAGCTGAAACTCCAATACTTTGCCACCTGATGTGAAGAATCAACTCACTGGAAAAGATCCTGATGCTGAGTAGGCTCCGGGAGTTGATGATGGACAGGGAAGCCTGGCGTATTTCTGCAGTCCATGGGGTTGCAAAGAATTGGACACAACTGAGAGACTGAACTGAATAAAAATATTTTTAAAAAGTTAATGAAAGGAAACAGCCCAAATGACCATTAACTCATGAATGGATAAACACTTCATGTCCCTGCGTGTGTGCTAATTTGCTTCAGTTGTGTCCAACTCTGTGCAACGCTATGGACTGTAGCTCACCAGGCTCCTTTGTCCATGGGATTCTCCAGGCAAGAATACTGGAGTGGATTGTGTGCCTTCCTCCAAGGGATCTTCCTGACCTGGGGATCAAACCCTACCTCTTACATCTCCTGCATTGGCAGGCAGGTTCTTTACCACTAGTACCAACTGGGAAGCCCCTTCTATCCTTTTTTTTTTTTTAAACTGCAGAGTTCTATTAACGAAAAAAACCTCTCATAATTTATTAACAAATTCACAGAACAATAACTGTACATTTCCTTTTCTGCCACTGTCACCTGTTAAATTACCATTGTCCTTATACACAAGGAAAAGTGGACATACTTTAAAGTCTTTCTGATAAATATATCGCCACTCTGCATCCAGCCTGGATAACGCTCTTCAGAACAGCATACTCTGGAGCCAGTTCTGCGTCATGTTTGAGGCCTATGTCATGGTGCTCAAGCTCTTCATCCCGAAATTTCCTAATCACCTGCAGAAGCTCCTCATATTTTTCAGTCTCCTTCTCCATCAGCGTCCTGATCTGGTTGTTGCAGTGGTGTGTGATGGACTCTTCCACGGCCACCGTGCAGGCCATGGCGCCCTCCTTCCCAAGCAGGGCAGTTCCAGCACCCAGTGCAAACCCCACCACATTCCAAAAGGGCATCAGAATGGTCGGCCGCACCCTGAATGCAACCATCAACTCATTGAACTTTTTCAAGTGGTCCTTTTCTTGATCCCACATTTTCTAAATGACCGGCCTGACGCTCGTCCGACCCAGGATGGCCATCTGTCCTGCATAGATGCAGTTCGCTCCATATTCACCTGCATGATCCACCCGGATTATTCGATCTACAGCTTCCCTATTGATGTTGTCTAAGGTCATTCCCAAACTGCAAAATCTGACACTGATTCTTCTTCCATAAGCTGAGAGGGGCTGCAGGGCACCTGTGCGCAGCCGCCACTCCCTTCTATCCTTACAATGGACTGTTATTCAGCCATAAAAAGGAATAATTGGCTACAACATGGATCGACCTTGAAAACATACTTAGAAAAAACAGACAGACACAGACGATCGCATATTGTCTGATCTCTTTGCTATGGGCTGTCCAGAGTAGGTAAATCCATAGAGACAGAAAGCCAATTTGTGGTTGCCAAGAGCTGGGAAAGGAGACCTAGAATTTGTTTTGGGGATGATGAGAATGTTCTTGAATTAGACAGTGCTGATGGTCGTAACAACTCTATTGTTTGTTGCTTAGTTGCTAAGTCATGTTGGACTCTTTGCGACCTTCACCAGGCTCCTCTCTCCGTGGCAATTCTCCAGGGAAGAACACTGGAGCAGGTTGCCATTTCCTTCCAAAAGGGATGCAGGGATCAAACCCATGTCTCCTGCATCGGCAGGCGGATTCTTTACCACTGAGCCACCTGGGAAGCCCATAACAACTCTGAGAATGTACTAAATGCCATTGAACTGCACACTTTCAAATAGTTGAGTGGTGAATTTTACGTTAAAAAGAGTGGAGGTATCAAGCGGCCGATCCAGCATAAAAATAGCTGAAGTCTCTAGTAAACAGCCCCCTGTACATTATACCTCAGTATGCATTTTCATTTTGAGTACTATGTGCCAAGATCTAGGGGGAGCCCTCTTCCTACAAGATTTCATTGCATTTTCAAAGCCACCTAGGAAGCAGTTACTCTCATCACCCCCAATTTACAGGTGAGAAACTGGATGCCCCGGGAGGCCAGGCTTCCCATCTGGATGAGGGTGGCAGAATGGGGTTTGAGTGGCTTGGTCCAGGGCCACACTTGTAGGCAGGTAGGCGGCTGCCTCTCCCGGGCTATGGGGGGACCCACTTCCTGTGACCTGGGCAAAGATGGACCGAGGTTCCTCGCTCACAGTCAGCCTCATGGGATCAGCAGGGGGGATATTTATGGTGAAGAGAGGATGAGTAATGTGTGGCCCAGTGGTCCACCACCTCCCCGACCCCAGCATCCACTCTCTGACCTGGCTCGAACCCAGGGTGGTGGTGGTGTTCAGTCACTCAGTCATGTCTGACTCTTTTCCATCCCATGGACTGTAGCACACCAGGCTTCTCTGCCTCCACTATCTCCTGGAGTTTGCTCAAATTCATGTCCATCGAGTCAGTGGTGCCAGTCAACCATCTCATCCTCTTCTCCTCCCGTCCTCAATCCTTCCCAGCATCAGGGTCTTTTCCAATGAATCAGCTTGTTGCGTCAGGTGGCCAAAGTATTGGAGCTTCAGCATCAGTCCTTCCAACGAATATTCAGGACTGATTTCCTTTAGGGTTGACTGGTTGGATCTCCTTGCAGTCCGAGGGACTCTCAAGCGTCTTCTCCAACACCACAGTTTGAAAGCATCAATTCTTTGGCGCTCAGCCTTCATTATGGTCCAACTCTCACATCTGTACATGACTACTGGAAAAACCACAGCTTTGACTATATGGACCTTTGTCGCCAAAGTGCTGTCTCTGTGATACAGCGCCTAAGGCCTCAGTGTGCCCCATCTACTAAAGGGGAGCAGCAAGACCAGGCCTTCGAGGATGCTGTGAGCCAACACCAAAGCAGGTGCGAGGCTCAGTCAGAGAACCAGGCTGCGTGCCGGAACAGAGGGTCCTCCACAACAGCTCCGTGACTTCGACCAAGCAGGGACTTAACATCCTGTGCTTCCATTTCCTTGTCAGTGACAAGGCATGGGTTACTGACACCTCATGGGTGGTGATTCTCCCAGTGAGGATTAAGCAGAACCTAATGTGAATAAAGGGAATGGTGCCCAGCCCGCAGCAGGTGCTCAACAAGTGGAATTGGGGTGTAACAGCCTCATAATCACCTGGAGCTGGTCTCAGAGGGCAGGCTGGTGGGCCCCTCTGGCCCTCTGACTCATCCTCTGTGGGTAGAGGAGCCCAGGATCTGTGGGTAAAGCATCTCTCCCCCCAGGTGGCAGATGTAGGAACCCTGACTCATCGCTGAGGGGTGACAAAGGGCCCTGAGCATGCGGACAGGCAGGGCAGGCGCAGACCTCAGCTCCCTGGGCTGGACGAGCTGGACTGTGGCTGGGCTGTGCTGTGTGGAGCCACTCAGTCGTGGCTGGGCTCTTGGCCACCAACAAGACTGCCTGATAACGAGCTACCTCATTACCTCCAGACTGTCACTGCCCTCAACCACCATCTGCCGCCTCACCTGTCCCCTGGCACGTCCCCATACCATGCTGCCTTGAGCCTGCTCCCTGCATACTGTGCCTGCATCCTGCTCCGGTGGGGGGGGGGCAGAGTGGGAACGGGGTGGGGGGCCAGAGGCAGTGCTCCGAGCCGAGGCCAAGGCTGTGCACATCTTCCAGATGTGCCGGAGCGGTCTGCTTGTTCCAGAAAAGTAGCAGCAGACTCCAGGACAGCTTGAAAGGCACCCAGCGGCGGGCCAGCCTGGTCTCCAGGCTTCGCTTCCTTTTCCTACCAGAGCTGCGGTTCTGTCCAGGGCATCAAGGTCAGGGCTGAAAATCCCTGTGTCCCAGCTCCCCTGCAGCTGTTGGCCCAGCACCACCGGTGGTACCGGGTGTTAGGAAGGGCTTATGGAAAAGCCCTTCCTGCTCAGCTGGCGTCTGCCCTCCTTCCCACCTGGAGGCCAGGATGTTGGCAGTGCAGCCGCCATCTTGTGGCCATGAGGACAGGAGCTGGTGGGGGGCGGTCACTGTGGCCAGCTTGGGGCTCCTGCCCCTGCCGGCGTGCCTGGCTAAATGCCTCTGGGGTCCCAGGAGGAAACACGCTTCTTAGTCCACAGCCTGAGTTTGATTCTGTTCCCTATAGCCACGTGCAGTTCCCAACGGGCTAGGGGAGAAAGCAAGAGCGAAGTGAGGGCTCTCCTTCTCCGCTGCATTCCCTGGAGGAAGCGCCAACAAGACTCTTGAGGTCTTTCCAGGAATATGGACACACATACAAACACCATGATCATGGGCTGTTTTTATTTTTCACCAAAGGCACCAGGGAGCACATCGCTCTGTAGTGTCCACGCTCCAGCAGAGCTGGGACTCTCCCCAGAAGGGGGTGTGGCATCGCAGGAGCCCCGCAGCCTCCTTCACTGTGTGTGGAGACCTGGGGTCACCAGTCCCCCACTGACGGACACTAGGCCGTTTCCAATCCTTCCAGGCATATGCTTTGGCAGTGGTCTCCGAGGGTACTGTTTGACTAGATGCTTAAGACTGTGATGGAGACACAGAGGCAGCCTCATGAAAACCAGACCCAAGCAGCGAGATGGGTATCAAGGGGGAGGAATTTATGTCTGCCTTCTTCAGCCAGTCAACAGACTGGCCCCTCCCCAAGGCTCCACTCCAGGCTACATAGCACCACCCACAGAAAGTGTGGTCCCACCTCCAGGAGGCCTACCACACCCCTAGAAGGCCCAGAATTGAGCACTGAAGAGTTGATGCTTTTGAACTGCAGTGTTAGAGAAGACTCTTGAGAGTCCCTTGGAAAGTAAGGAGATCCAACCAGTCCATCCTAAAGGAAATCAGTCCTGAATATTCACTGGAAGGATTGATCCTGAAGCTGAAGCTCCAATACTTTGGTCACCTGATGTGAAGAGCCAACTCATTAGAAAAGACCCTGATGCTGGGAAAGACTGAAGCCAGGAGGAGAAGGAGATGACAGAGGATGAGATGGTTGGATGGCATCACTGACTCAATGGACATGAGTTTGAGCAAGCTCCAGAAGCTGGAGGAGGATGGACAGGGAGGCCTGGTGTGCTTCAGTCCCTGGGGCCGCAAAGAGTTGGACACGACTGAGCGACTGAACTGAACTGAGTTGAACTGAGAAGGCCTGGGTCCACCTTCAGGAAGTCTGGTCCCAAACCAGGAGGTCTGGCTCCACCTTCCAGAGGCCAGGTTCCACCCCCCAGGAGGCCAGGCCCTGCCCTCAGGAGACCTAGTTCTGTCCTTGGCTTTTTCCTTTTTAGTACCTGCATCGCCCCCCACGCCCCCAACGCTGCCTTCCTCCCGTCCAGCCCCTCCTCTGGCCATCAGCATGGGGACCAGCCCTCACCATCTAGTTCCTGGACTAAGGTAACAGCCTCCCGCCAGTTTCGCAGTCCCCTCCTTCCCCCTTTCTTACTCCCAGTAGATGTCATTCACCCCAGAGAGTCAGATTCCACTGAGCGACTGAGCTGAACTGAACCCCCTGCTTAAAACCCTTCAGGGGGCTGCCTCCAGTGCAAGGACCACTGCAGGCCAGTATCTCCTGCTTCGAAAGCACCCTGTCAAGCCCTGCCCCATCTCTGCTCTTGCACACTTGTCTTCGTGGAGTATCTTTCCTTCAGTTTCAGGTTGCGTGTCAGCCTCCTGCTCACCCCGCGAGACCTGGGCACTGTCCTTTGCTGTGGCCGCCCCCGCCTGTGCCCCCGACAGACTTTGACCCCAGTTCTTTTTTTTCTTTTAATTTTCAATGATTTATTTCTAGTATTTTTTTTCCATTTATTTTTATTAGTTGGAGGCTAATTACTTTACAATATTGTAGTGGTTTTTGTCATACATTGACATGAATCAGCCATGGAGTTACATGTATTCCCCATCCCTATCCCCCCTCCCACCTCCCTCTCCACCCGATTCCTCTGGGTCTTCCCAGTGCACCAGGCCCAAGCACTTGTCTCATGCATCCAGCCTGGGCTGGTGATCTGTTTCACCCTAGATAATATACATGTTTCGATGCTGTTCTCTCGAAACATCCCACCCTCGCCTTCTCT